AAAAAAAAAAAATATATATATATATATATATGAATAAATATAAAATCAAAAATTGCTTATTGAAGGCGGAGAGACATGTACCCTATCAACAAGATTCTTCCTGTTTTTGTATTTAAAAATATCTCTGAAATTCCTTTGCAACAAAGTCGTTGCTCTCTCTCTCTCTCTCTCTCTTCTTTTTCTTTTTTTTTTTACCCTCCTCCCTCCCCTCCCGTCTTATTTTCATTATTCGATGATAATAATTTTATCTCACATTACGCGACACTAGTGGTTTTCCGAAAATCATAAATTCGACAATTTCGAATCGTTGAAAACTTTATCTCTCCCTCTCACACACGATTCGTTTTAATTTTTTTTTTATTTTTTTTTTATCTTTTTTATTTCTTTTGTCTCTTCTTTTATTTACAAATTTATTTACAATTCCGTAATATTTGCCCCTCGGCTAAATATCCACCACGGACACTAATTGCAACGCCACAAGGCCGCCCACTTGACAATTACGTTCCCATGAAATAAATGGAAAATCCATAAACGTGCGATTAAGTAAGTCCAAGTGTTTTAAAATGAAAATAAGTGTTCCGAGGCATAACGAGCTTATAGAAATTTATTTATTTATTTATTTAATTTTTTTTTTTTTTTTTTTTTTTTTTTTTTTTTGAAAATAATTAAAAGTACGTGCTAATATTTGTTTTTTAAAGGAACAAAAAGAAACAGCCATTATTTATATGACAATTGGAATTGAAAATAAATTTTAATTAACAAATAAATATTTTTATAAATATTCCAATCTTATTTTGTACTAATAATCTTCCTTTTTACCATTATTATGTTTATTTTATTTTATTTTTTTCAGAGGTATTTTTACAAGCAAAGCGGATAGTTAAAAAAAAAAAAAAAAAAAAAAAAAAAAATCCTCCTCTCCCATCGTTATCTGTATATTTAACTTAGGAAACGTCGATACGTTTTTTTTCTTCCTCTGACCTAAGCCAAGCTCCAAACAATCTGATTAATCCAGAGAATTCGATGAATGATCAAGTTTCAATCTTGAGTTATTCAATCAAGGCAATAGGAGAAGTGAAAGTTTTTGGGTAAAGCGTTGGTTGTAGCTTGAGGAAAGTCAGGTACGCTGCATCATCGATGGCGACAGTACGGCATACGGCAAAGTAAGGGACGAGGCGCGTCATTTAGCAGGTTAAACGCGTAAAACTTTCGATGGCGATCGATGCAATTAAATAGTCCAAAGTAAACTCGCCGACTTCACTCCTTATTACGTAGAATATATAATAGAAATTATTTAATCACTGCCGCGCTGTACATAGTTAGTAGCATACGCCGCCAACGCCAATGTCGATTGGTTCGCGCGAAACCTGTTTATGCCCACGCATACACTCTAACAACACAAACATATAAATATTTTCTCCTAGAGTTGGGTTCGAAGAGCAAGAGATTTAACAAAAATTAAGATGCACGATGTGTGTCGAGATGAGGCAAAGAATTAGCTTACGAATAGCTAAAATAAACATACGATCGAATCGTGAAAATAACTTGCAATATTAGATTTTGACATACGACAGAATAATACGTGAAAAAATTATCATTGAATAATTTTTTAAGTATGCATATATATATATATTTTTATTATTCGTTGTAATCGGTAAGGAGCTGCTCCTCGTGTAAGTTAATGAAAAAACTTATTTTATAAAACGACTCTCTTGTTATTGCCAATTTTTAATTATTTAAGCCGCAAATGTAACTACTGGTGAAATTCATTGTACATTAAAAGAACATAATCTAATGTAATAAAGGATCATTTAAATATAATATGCGAGAGCCTGCTTGATCTTTAGTTATTTTTCTTCGTTTTAATTCCGTCAATGCGTAAAGTACGACGAAATTATATGAGAGTTTGGTGTTGGTAAGTTTGACAAAAACTTCGATACAATGGTTCGTTCAAACGGATAGTTTTTTTTTTTTTTTTTTTTTTTTTTTTTTTTTTTTTAATAATAATTATAATAACGATGACGACGACGACGACGACGACGATAATAATAATAATGATAATGGCAAAGTTGAATTCATAATCAATTAGGTAATTGAAAATGATACTTTTTAAAAAATTATTAATCTACTTTTAGAAAATTAACTTAGAATGCTTAATGTTAAACTATGTGGTGAGATTATTAATAAGATTAAGGAAGAATAATTTCACGATGCATTTTTGATAATAAGGAATTCATTAAAAACATAGTTTTGTACACTTATACGCAAAATATACATAATTTAATTTTATGTACATAATAATTTTAGCGCGCAGCACTTATATATATATATATATATATATATATATATATATATGGCGCGTAGTATGAAGAAAAATTAAATTCAATTACATCAATAAATTGAAATAATGCGTTCATGACGCATTATTCCTTTCTCGTTCGTTTTTTATTTTTTCGATTCCTCATTTCTTTCAACAGATCTAAATTCATTATTAGTTGTTTTAATTGTAGTCAGAATTGTTTTAGAAAAATCTTTAGTGGTACTAATTAGAATTTATTTTACAAATAACGTCAATTTAAAATTTGCAACTGCTACTACTAATACAAAATATAATTCTTTTTCGATATACAATATGTTTGTAGGGATTCGTATTATCGCGTGTGTATTTGAGCGCGCGCGCGCTTGTGTAAACACGTATGTGCTGTATATAAACACACGCAGGTAGAGACAACCGTATGTGTATACTTTGTGTGCGCGCGCGCGCGCGCGCGTGTGTGTGTGGATGTGTGTGTATTAAATCAAGGGATTGAAATTTTTTTTTTAAATATCGCTTCCAGAGCGACTATTTCCTTAATGCTATGATCCTTGCATTTACACATTTATATAAAAAGTGTATGCTTTACCTTGTTACTCTTATTTCTCATATATCTCATTATATCGATCACTTAATTAATGATTTAATAACTTCATTAATTAACATTGTTTATAATTCATTATTATTTATTGATTATAAGCATTCATAATTAATTTTACTAATTAATCATGAACGTCGATTGATAACAATTTATATTACTTTATTTTATTGAGCAATTAAAATGATAAAGCTAATAACTGAAAATTTAAATATTTGTGCTGCATAATATTAACGGTAGATATAATTATACTCAAATTAAAATATATATAAAGATAAATTCCATTAGTTATCTACGATAAAATATTTTACAACGAATTTATTCCTAAAAATTATTTCTACAAATGACATCGTTAATCGTATATTCTTCTTCGTCTTTTTTTTCTTCTTCTTCTTCTTTTTCTTATTATTATTATTATTATTATTATTATTATTATTATTATTATTATTATTGTTATTATTTTTTTTTTTTTGTATTTAAATCGGTTTGAAATTCATGTATTTTTCGAAAGTATAAAATAATCTTTTTTCTTGCATTTCAAAACTATTCCCTCCAGTTCTCTTAGGACGTACAAACAGTTACACTAGGCAGTCGACAAAAAATTCCATTATTGCATTCAAACGCGTACAACGATTATTCAGCATAAACGAATATTTTTTACAATCACAGTAAATAATTTTCATCGATCAATCAACAAATCACCGATCCAAGACACTTCCATTTACAAATTGCACAATTTTATTATTCATTTTATCGGTTATTTGAAACATATCATAGTACACACGCGTGCGTGCGCACGCACCCACGCACCCACGTAAAATTTATAATTTTTAACAATTTACGCTATTATGCCTCAAAATTGATTAAACTTATCGGACGAAGATTTAAAAATTCCCCATATACGATTAATCGTACTATATACTACTCCAACACCTCGTAAAGTTTAACGAAATAAAAAGATGAAAGCTTGTTCTATGTAAATGACTTCTCCCGAGCATTTGAGCTTCGCTTAAGCAACGAGGAAAAAGTTTTACCGTCAATTAGTTGTATCCCTGACACCAGACCGGAGCAAAACAATAATTATCCAACACAGCTTATAAGTATGGATACGCGAGTACTTGCTTGCGCGCGCGCGTGTGCGTGTAAAAAGACAAAAAAAAAAAAAAAAAAAACAATAAAAAAAAAACAAAAAAAAAAACAAAAAAAAAATGGTGTAAATACAAGGTTATAAATAAACGCTTCAGTCAGTCTAACGATTCTGGATGAACAACCATATCGCTGGCGTTCTGCTAGCATTGAGTCGCTTGTAAACCATTGGGCAGCCGGTGGCCTTGCTTTTGGTTCATTGGCAATTGCCTGGTTGCCATGCTGTTGCCACACTGACTGCTCCAGTCGGCGTTGGAAGGTAATGCTCTGTAGAACTTTGACGATGTTTTGTTGAATATGGGTAGTAGTTCGTTGGCTTCGTTCGACAATGCCTGAAAAAAAAGTTTGAGAAAACAAAAATCAAGGATTTTAGGATCAAAGAAAGCCAAGCCTAACATCCATCCTCTCCCGCTATACGTCAATTGGTGGTCGATGGAATTTAACCGATCATTTCTTAAATACAAGTTTTAGGATATTCGTGTATCGTGCAACTCGATGGCCATAAAATACAATTGTATGGTTGTTGATAAGCTTAGTGAAAAAAAAAACAAAACAAAACAAAACAAAACAAAATAAAATAAAAAATAAAAAAATCAAAAAAACAACAACAACAATTTCGATCGAACGCTAATTGTGACGGATGATCGTTTGACTCATTATGCCAGACTTCCGTAGGAGCGTTATATCGTAACGATGCAATCGGCCATGCTCTATGCAAATATGATAATTATTTGATAAAGTATGGTAAGAACCTTGAGGTAAATAATGGCGTCGGTCCCGTAGCCTTCACAGCTCAGCAGAATCAAATCCCCATGGAAATATCGGGCATAGAGTCGTGATATTGGAAGACCATAACCGTATCCGGCGAGCGGCACCGTGTGGGCGTCGGATTTACTGGGCTGAGGTGCAGTGCTGTACATGTACTTGAATAAATTGTCCGTCTGCGAGCGAGGAATACCGCCACCTTTGTCGGACATCTGCAAATTCGACGTTGAAAGGTACATTGAAATCCCATAAAATCGTGAAAGTAGCGAAGAACGTTACTTATTACAAATACCTATATATACGTATAGGATAATAGGTAAGGAAATTTTGAATAACTTATTTTAATAAAAAAATTTATTTTAAAAAATAAATTATATATATATATATATATATATATATATATACACGCACGCACGCACGCACACGCGTACACATTAATTGATATATCAAGACTTTATTAACGCGAGACTCGGCAAAAGCGCGCATAAACAACGCCTACCTTGACGCATATGTCCTCTTTCCCGCGAACGACAGTGACCTTCAAACCTGGATATTTGTCGGCATCGGAACCGCAGTGTTCCATTACTGCTCTCATGCTATTTTTGAAAAGTTCAAAGAGCATATGGTATAAGTGGCTTGGCACATATACTATCTTCGTCTCGTTTCCCTGTTCCATCTCTACAGCAAGAGAAATATATAATGTAACATTAATTCATATGCCAATCCCGAGCATTAACTGAAAAATAATTAGCTTACGCTGTTTAAACAAAGTTACCGAGTGGTGCAATTACGTGATAACAAAAATAATAAATAAAAAGAAAAAAAAAAATTCAAAAAAAATTCAAAATAAACGAATATATTTTTATCGTTATAATAAGGTCAAATTTTGGCTTCGCTACGTATTAAATAACTAATTTGTTGTTGTTGTTGTTGTTGTTGTTTTTTTGAATACTTGCCATTATGCTGATTAAATACAAGTTCGGGGCTTGCCATATAGTACTGATCGCACAAGAATCGTGCATTTTCGTAGGCATCCTTGACGACGCTGATGACGTCACAGTAGGGATCTATGCATCCGATATGTCGGTTGTGGCAATCTAGAACTCCGCCAAACAGCAAAGCTAAAATACAAATGATATTATTCTAGCTTTTAATAATCATCGAGTCCCTTCTACTTTACACACACGCACGCGCGCACGCACGCACGCGCACACACACACACACACACACACACACACAGAGCCTATTTCATATTTATAATATATATTGTTATTTTTATTATAGTCGTCGTTATTCTTCTTGGTTTTATCATCACCGTCAGCGTCATCGTTATTAAAATAATAATAACAATCGAAATACTACTTTATAGCAAAAAGAAAAAAAAAGGAACAAAAAAATAATAATAATAATAATAATAATAAAATACATTTGGTAAATTTAAAGTTGAAAATTAATGTAGCATATAGAAAGGGCATGAAAAAAATTTTCATTATAATCTTCAGAATGAACAAGTACATCGCGAGTATGAAAATTACGTTATTCATTTCTCTACATTGTTAATCAATAATTGTCGATAAATTTATTTTCAATTGTAAAATAATTTGCAAAGAATGCGCTCTCATTACGTTCTTATGGCGTTCCTTTCGAACATAAAACTGGATATTCTCCAAGCTTTCTCTCGTGTGTTTCTCTATGCTGTTTCTCAAACTTTCATAAATGCCTATAAATGTTTAAAGAAATGCCATTGCAAACGCTCGAGCCAGAAGCAGCGGATTTTAAAATTAAACAATCGTTGACTGATATTCCGAATAATGGAAGAAATCTGAAAAATTTCTATATACTTACAAAGTATAAATATTTACAGAAATAAAATTATTTATTGGATTATGTCTCGGTATTAATTTCATCAAAATCATTGTATTAATCTATTTAGAGGATCTATAGATTTATATGCCGATCGCACATTACAATATGCTTGTCTTATAATGTAAATGTATCGATTGAAGACTTTGATATTCCTATTAATACTATAAAGATAAATTTTATAAGAAAATAATTACATTTGAAGCGAAAGTTTTATCTTTTAATCGTACCGTCTTGCGCATACAATCAATTCGTAAAATTTGAAAAAAATTTCTTTTCTTCCTTCGTTCTTCAATTATACAATTATAATTATGTACAATGCAATACAAGTAGTAAAAGACTCGTTTATCATAGAAATAATCATTAATTAGCTGAGCATGTTAGGTATTATCTCGTATTATCTCAAATTCATAGTTGTATTAAATGAAAATTCACTGTTCATATGTGATATAAAAAAAAAAGAAGAATGTATTTTAATATTGGAGCCCGATAATTTCGTTCATAATTTTTGTTAAAAATTTAACGTGTTTTAGAATACATAGAAATAAAGAAAATAAGCAAATAATATGCCGTTCGAGACAAAAACAAAGAAGAACAGACGCGCACGGATATGCGCAACACGCATATGAAGACGACGGCCAGAGATAAACGTACGTGCGCGCGTGTTTGTGTGTGGAGGGAGGGATTGGGGAGGGAGAGGGGGGGGGAGTGTGTGCGAGTGGAGAGATATAGTAGATAAACGAATAGACATTGGAGGTAGAAAATAAGAGTAGAAAAGTTTCACGAATTGAAGAAGGGGCTCACCTCCCCTTCGCCGAGCCTGGGAGATAAGTCCTGGTACAGCACGACAACCCTGTCGATTTTTAAAAGCCGAGACATGGATTCGGAATATTCGAAGGAAAAATATAATATAACAAAGTCTTTTCCAGTCTGTTTCAGAAATTTGTCATCTTTACGATTGTTCAGCTTTCCTTTAGTTAACTCGAAATTGATAAAAAATTTTACACGGATGGTTAATAGGATTAAGAACGAAAATGTTCGGAAACTTAAAAATTTGTAGGTTGCAGATATGGGGAGAACTTTATATCGAACAATTGACATTTATAATATAAGAATAAAGTCACAACTATGTACATTAAGAATATTAAGAATTTGTATCTCGATATAGCGAATTGGGAAAATCGATTTGACAATGTCGAGTGTAGTTTATCGTATTAGGACTACGCAAGTATATAGGATCTAAGGAAATAAGCAGTCGTAACGAACATTCTTCTTTCTTTCTTTCTCTCTCTCTCTCTCTCTCTCTCTCTCTCTCACACACACACACACACACACACACACATTACATCGGCGCTTTAAGACGCTGTTAAATTGCAATTTACTTACTATGCTGATTAATGAGCATTCTTATTGAAATACGAGACATGTAAAATCGGTCGAGAAAATATTGGATGCTGTTTTCCGTCTGTACATCGACATCGTGAGATTCCTTTAACTCCAAAACCCCCTGAGCCATCGTTTGCACGACGTCCGTGTGTCTATTTCTGATCTTCACTAAAGCTTGACAAAATCTGCAATCAAATAAAATTATGATATTATCGTTGATGGGTGCATTTTTCCACATCGCAGCATCCCCATTTCACTAGAATAGTTCAATTTCATTAGCATGCGAGCCTAGTGTATTTTATCGCGTTAACACTACGGCTAAAATGTCCCTTGACACTAGTGAAAAATAAAAATATTAATCGACGATCAATGATATCCAACGTAAAGATACGAAAAATCGCTTCAAAATTTTCGCAAGGTGAATTGTTTTTTAAGTTCTTAGTATCTTGCAATTAATACAATTAGCAACGTGTGTCAAAACGAAAAAAAAAGAAAAAAAAAAAAGAAAAAAAAAAGAAAATCATATAGATCTTTGTGATTTAGGTAAAATGAGAAATACTTACCTATCCAAAGTATTTTCATTCACGTCGGCCTTTTCGAAAAGAATAATTTCTTCGAATGACGTTGCATAGAGATCATTGACAATTTCCACGCTCCGCATTCGTAGGAGATTTTCCGGTAACAAATGTATCTCCTTCATAATGTTGGCCAGGCGCACTGGAAGTTCCTTCCGTAAGAAGATGAAAGATTTTCTCTCGCACGCACTAAGTCCTGAAAGAATTGCAAATCGTCTTAGTAATAGAGCAAATAATTACGAAAAAATATTTTCCAAAAAACTAGTGTATTCCAAGGCGGTGGATATTAGTGATAATAAGGGCGGAGCAATCGTCATTGCAAAATATCGCTTATAAAATTAGAAATAATATTACGATCCCAAGTCGTTACATAATTATGTATTAAGTAACAACGTCGTATACAGTTTTATCCTGCTCCACCAAAATAAACGAAATTAAATATTAAATATCTCCGATATAAATGATTGACGTCGAGGTCTGATACGAGCATGATCGTATCTCATAATTTTTAATATAATCTCTTGATTTTATTGAGAGAAATAATATCAAGGTATTAAACGCAGATTTTCTTAATAGTTTACAAATTAAGCTAATTACGTCATTTATTTCGCCGGCGGTGGGTTGTTCGCAATTGTTCGCATACTTTAGTATAATTGAAAGTGTCTTTAATTGTGATTTTTCTTTTTTGCTAATACTTTCTAGGTCCAAAAAAAAAAAAAAATTATTAAATTTCGTATTCGTAGCCAAGACGTTTTTAGAATTTAAATCAAAATTTTTGCACGTTATTTTGTACGGAAATTGTAATGCAATTTAATATTTGCTAGAAATAATTGAGAATAATGAATAAATAATGAATAAATGAGTGGTGATTCAGGAGGCATCGATTTTCCTTTTAAAAATACACTGCTGTTAATGTATATTTGCAAGTTTGCAATAATTTAAAGAAAATTAATAAATAAATAAGCGAATATGAGCATTAATAGTAAATTGAGAGAGTCGTATAAGAAAACTGAATATTTAGCCTGAATAATGTCATTTTAATTACTTTACAACATACATTAAGAATATAGAATATTAAGCATTAACTTATTTATATGGTAAACAAGATTTCACAGCACTACTTTCTTACATAACTTTCTAACACACATGCAATAACGAATGATTAACATTTAGTTACATATATATATATATATATGTTTACGACAGAGATAGCGAAGATAATTAATTAATCTGCTCAAAGTCGCGATGTACTGAATTTTTTGGATATATTATTTGTAATTGTGAAATATGGATTCGCGAACAAGGAGGCTTATAGGCTTGGCTCTATCATTATTGTTATTTTATTATTAAACAGAGGCCATTATAAGCTTATGCACACTCACGTACGTCCACAAGGCAGATAGATAATTTATTATGAAAGTTTTAAAGAACTATAGCTTGAAATTTCTCTTTGAATTAGGTTATTCGTATATGTTTTCAGGATTAACGTTGAGTATCGCACGGTAAAGGAAAAACTATAAACTTTTTGTCATTATTTAAATGACCGACCAGTTACATGCCGATGTAATAATAAATTTTCTTATTGCCTTTAAGAGTAATGAGTAATGATTAAAGTCTAACAATTTTCATCTATAATATAGCAATTTGTTGCCTTATTGTTAATGTCGAATAAATAAGTGTTTTATTGCGAAAATAATGATGGCAATGCAGATAGTATGCGGATAAAACAAAGAGGAAGAACAATTGCGCGTACGTAGATTCTCAAAATTAATTACTTATATCTACAGACAAATGTTGCACAAAAGAGAATATAACGAGCGTTAATCTTAAAATAAGTGCTCTCGACTTCAAGTATCTCTATATACAAATTCACTTACGCCGTATATTGTTAATGAATTGCAAATTATTTATCGCTCGTAAAAAAGTAACAAAAAAAAAAAAAAAAAAAAAAAAAAAAAAGTTATTAGTGTGTTAAATTGAATTTGAAGTATTACAAAGTTCTTAAGATAAAGTTTAGTCTCAAAACTGTACATATTAATGTGAAAAATACAAAGATATAATGAAGCTGATAATTATTGATAATTGATATTTTGAACGTACATTAACACACTAAAATAGTCGAATATTATATGTTATTGTTATTAAGTACTTTTTTAGGCATCCCCTATCGTCTTAGAAGATATTTTCATATTATTTCTTTAAAAGATTCAGTATCGAAAAGGAATGAGTTGAAAAATAGAAGAAATCTCGTTTCTACTATTTTTTGTTTACGTTATATATATAAACGTAGGTAATTAACTGTATTAATCGCACACACGTGACTGCTTGTATTAATATGCATGTGTGTGCCCGGATAGATCATAGATCATAGAGCACGGAGCATTCGTAGCACGCATATTGTGCTCATCGTCACAACTTAATTTTTAAATCTTAAACGTTGTTATTCGTGATAATATTTATTACAATAATATTGACTCGAACGCTGTTACAAGCGTTGAGTAATCTAATGCACGAGAAACATAATAACTGCATTGGAAGGGATGAAATCAATAATAATGTGTAGAGAGGTCGGACAGCCGCTTTTATGCCTCGATGTAATATACGACATTTAAAGAATTCTTAAAACGTGCTTATAATAGGATTCTTTATTCAAATAAAAAGTAATTAACCGAAGTATTACGAATGTTTAGAATGCCGATAGAATAAGATAAAGAAAGAGGAATAAAGCACACCGTATTAAATGATAATTGAAGACATCTAAATTTAAAATACAACTTCATTTTAAGCAATATTATAAGTTAATTATATTGACAAACGTATTATAATAATGTTGATACTTTACGTTATTGCGTTGAATTAATGTAGAAAAGTTATAAAAACATTAAAATTGTTGTACGAATTATTGAAAGCACCAGGAAAATGTCAATTATAGATGAGGATATTAAGCATATTATATATATATATATATATATATATATTACCCGCCCGTAAAATTCTTTATAAATATAAAATTGTATTTCAATTAGCGATTGATGTACTGTACATTAACAATTACATTAAATAATAAGCTCGAATTGAGTTGGAAATTGTCGGCAAGAGTGAATTATTTATACGAGGAAGTGCATTGTTAAGTGGACAATATTAAGCTTAACGGATTTTTAAATAACGTGATGCTATTAATAATTATAGGGGATTAATAAATGATGGAGGATTATTAAATTGACATTTTGCATTAATATATAATTTGAAGTTTTTTTTTATTTTTTAATACATATATCGATTAGGCGATTTTCCTATTATTATCAAACAACCGAGAATTCCTCTTCTAATTACTATTATTATTGTTATTATTATTATTGTTGTTGTTGTTGTTGTTGTTGTTGTTATTGTTGATGTTGTTGTTGTTATCATTATTATTATTATTATTATTATTATTATTGTTGTTATTATTGATTAGAATGATATTAACTAAAAGAGATAAAGATAAAGATGAAAAGAAAAAAAAAAAAAAAAGCAGGAGAAAGCAATTTAGAAAAAGTAGCTGAAACGACGATCGTGAATTGGCACATTCCGCTACGCCATGTTCGTTCGTGTTAAAGAGACTCGAACGGTTTTGTAGTTCATCTCGATTGATCATTGTGCGCAGCGAGGCGAACAACGAGTAAAATAGAAAAATTCGGCACTCGTTTATGATTTAGCTACTGCTTATCGGTGCAAAAGGAGCGTGGAGGCGACGGCGACATCACCTCGGGGATGTTTTGATGGTTAGCCTCGTCCGTCGGGAGAGGTCGGACCTAACACTTTAACACGCAACACCGCCTCACAACGCAACAACCCGATAGCGGACGTTCGTATCTCGAACCGGAAAATTGCGTCACGAGCTATTAATCCACCTCTGCTTTACGAGCCACGAGCGTTCGATCGTGTCGTGGCGGAGGACACGATAAGGTGTGAATAAGTCCAGTTTGAGGAGAATCCGTGACGCGAGAAAGCCATGAACGATGTTCCTGGTCAGTGGCACGGGTCCTTCCGCGCTTCCCGCGCTAATTAATGACAATTCGATTTGGCGAGAGGCTTGTGTGGGATTAGGGACTGGATTTACAAAAACGGGGCGACGGCATATTCATTGTGCAGTGCAACAAGTAGTCAATAAATTATTCTCCACTTTTTCCGCCGCACAGCCAACGAAGCCCCCAATGATTAATTCCCTCGCATCACAAGAATGTTTTAACATTATTATCAATTTTCTTTAACTAATGACGACGATCATAACAGGATGCAGACGGTGCATAATTTATCTATATTAGTACGTGTCGCATTGTTGTACGCGCTCTCAAATGCAAATAGAAAGTTCAATTTCGTATATTTATTTTATAAGAGGTTTATCGAGTCGAGGAAATGCTGGCGGAGCGTTTATCATTAAGTCGACAACTCTCGGCGCTACGAATTATTCGAAATATCAATTTCACTTGGCTTTAAGAAAAGGCTGGCGGCCGTCATTCGTGAGATAAAATAAGAATTTCAAGAGGAGAGAGCGAGAGACGAACACTTTTTTCGTAATTTTGAAAAGCAGTGTTCTATTTTGTTTCCTTTTTTTTTTTTTTTTTTTTTTTTTTTTTTTTTTTAATTATCTTATCATAAAACATTCTAAGCTTACGTAATCATTATCTTGCGTATAATAAAGTTGGAACAAATGATATGATATTATATTGTAATTAAAATAATTCTTGGAAATTTTTAACGCAAAGCCCAAAGACAGTTTGTAAATAAGATCTATCGAGCATATATCGATGATTGGACAAATTATACTTTTTGAGATATTGTCAATTTCATTAAAAATTTAATTATAAAATGTATGCGCGTTTTTAAACTAATTACTTTCCAGCTTATCATAAACCGTAATGATAAAGTCGTTATAAATTATTTTAAAACAAAGCACGAGCTATAGTTAACATGGAAATCATACGAATATCTTGTGAAAATTGGTGAAAATTGTTTTTATTGTACTATCCACGGCTCTAGACACAACAAATTATTACGAAATACAATAATGAAAGGACAGACTCGTTTACTTTAAATAAAGTCTCGTTGAATAACGTCGAAAAGAAATAGAAAATTAAAATTTTATCTTAATTATCATACTAGACGACATTTTAATAAATCATCAATGTCTTAAAAATATCTCTATTTAACGAA